GGGGGGAGGCCCCCTGAGCGCGGACGGTTCATCATCTATTTCCGATGAGGCCGATGTGGTGGCCCCACTCACCAAGTCACAACCAATATGTCGTCGTCTGCACGCCGCGCGCGTTCGGAGGGTTCGGAGGGTCGACGACGTTATGGGGAAGAACGTTGGAAGGACGACGTCATCATCTTGCTCGGGGGAAGTGCGTGCAAGCAAGGCACCTCGTTCGAACGGGGAATTCCGATCCAATCCAAATTTCGAATCGTTCGAAAGCGGGGCGGGCGAGGGCGACGTAGGCGTCGTCTTGAAGACGGCTGGGGGGTAGCAGGAGCAGGATCGGGAGCAGGAGCACAAGGAGCAGGAGCTGGCACAGGAGGAGCAGCACGCTCTGACACCCGAGCAGCGAGTGAGTGCTTGAGAGGGTTTTCCGGAGCGTGTGTGAGTGAGCCCCGATCACACGCTGGCCGTGAAGCGTGGCGTGTCGAGACGTCGTCGTGGGGTGGCGGCGTGGCGTGGGAAGAGCAAGGGATGCCAGCCGGCAAGGCAGGGGAGGGGAGGGGACGGGATGCGCGCGGGGGAGGAGGGAATATGCGTTTCGTAATTCTGTTACAGTCCCGACAGTGATATTGCAGTCGAAATGGAAGGAGGGGGAGGGGCGGGCAATGCCTGACTCTTATTGGCGATGACAGCAGTCGCGAGTCCAGTCCGCTTTCCCAAGAGTGGTCCTCGAGTCACTGGCCCGCTTTCGGAAAGCAGGGCGGGACAGCGTGGCGCGGTGGCGCGCCCGCCCCCCGGCTCTCCCGCTCAACCTTGTCCGGACGTGGTCCCCGGCATTCCCTGCGCCGCAGCCGGCTGGTCCTGCTTCGGCTGTCCGGCTGCAGGAGGCGTTATGCAGAAACCATAGCAAGCTACGGGATGAGGTGCCCTCACCGCAAATTCGTACGGAATCCACCGCCAATCGGATTTACCGGGAAGCTGCAAACCTACGGATGCCCCCCCAGAAAAAAACCGCGTAAGAAACCCCTGTGAATAAAGGACAGATTGCGATGTGAAAAAGATGCAGGATGCAGGAGGGCAACAGCCGCTGCCGGAGCTAGAGAGCATAGAGTATGCCTAGGCTAGGGTCTTCTTCAGCTAGCAGTCGGGGATGGTGATGGTGGGGTCGGGGATACCCCTCGCTCTGCGAGCAGAGGGAGTAGCGCCGCTCTGACGCGGGGTATACTCCCCTTGTGACTCATGTTTACACGACACGCGCGGTCAGGTTATCAGCTGTATATGAATACGCAACCGCGGAGAGGGGGTGTTGGCTCAGGGAAGGCAGATGGGGCGACAAGGACAAGCCGCTGCCCAGGCCCAAATTCTTTCAATTGGTCCCGAGTCTTCAGTCTGTTGACAACATGGCATCTCCTGCTGCTGTGTTCAATGCTTCCGTCTTTCGGAAAGCAAATGTGTGCATCGGGTTGAACACCGTTTTCAGAGGTGCTTCGAGATGTATCCTTTACGTCACAGTGTTATTGATTTTGAAGGCTTGTCGGCAAAACATACTTAGTTTTATTTACTTGAATGGTGTTGCACAATTCTCTATGGTACGGTTCACTGTTCTGAGTGGTACAATTGATTTTTTGAGGGGTCGTACTGCGGCTATAGTAAGGTGTCATTTTGGTCGTAAAGCAAACCAAAACTTTTTTGAAATAAATGTCTTGTTATTTTTAATCTTAACTCTATTATAAGGTTTTGCATCAGCTACAAAGTCAAAGGGTGAGTAAGGTAAATGTTATTCTTACAAGGGTTGTAAATCTACAGTGTCTAATTAGTTAATTATTCCCTCTATATTCAGGTCCCAAATTTGATTGGGAGGATCCAGTGAATTTGGAGTCACAATTTACTGAAGAAGAAATACTTGTGAGGGACCAATGCCGTGCTTATTGCCAGGAAAAGCTAATGCCCCGCATAACCATGGCTAATCGCAATGAGAGTAAGAATCTTTTATCGCGCATGATGCCACTACAATATAAACATGTTTTCTTAATGATTCCTTTTTGTTTTCTTTTGCATTACAGGCTATGACAAGGAAATTATGAGGGAGATGGGTTCAATAGGTTTGCTAGGGTCAACACTGCAAGGCTATGGATGTGCTGGTGTTTCTTCAGTGGCTTACGGCATTGCTGCAAGAGAGGTGGAAAGAGTAGACAGTGCTTACCGTTCTACAATGAGTGTACAGTCATCTCTCGTAATGGGCCCAATTTATCATTATGGTTCTGAAGAACAGAAAGAGAAATACCTTCCTAGGCTCGGTTAGACCTGCTTTTCTAGTGCTTGGTAATATTAGGTACTGTGCATTTTACTAATATTTTCTTTCTCTTTGTTGGTTTTTGTTTCTGTAGCGAAAGGCGAATTAATAGGTTGTTTTGGCCTAACTGAGCCTGATCATGGGAGTGATATTGGTACAATGGCATCTAAAGCTGTATATAACAAAGAAAGGAAATCCTACACTCTTAATGGCAGCAAAACTTGGATCACCAACTCCCCCATAGCAGACATTATTGTTGTGTGGGCGCGTACAGAGGATGGGAAAGTTCGGGGTTTCATAATTGAACGAGAAAATGCCAAAGGCTTGAGCACTCCTCGTATAGAAGGAAAATTTTCTTTGCGTGCATCTCCTACAGGCATGATTCTTATGGATAATGTGGAAATTCCTGAAGGAAATATGCTTCCAGGAGCTGAGGGCATGAGAGTTAGTACTACCTTTGCTCATGTCATATTAATCAATTAAAATTCCACACCTTTACCTGTCTATGTACTTAACTAAATATCAATTTCAGGGCCCCTTCTCTTGTTTGAACAATGCTAGATATGGAATAAGCTGGGGAGCATTGGGAGCAGCAGAATTTTGCTTTGCTGCAGCTCGTCAGTATACACTTGATCGAGTACAATTTGGTAAACCCCTGGCTGGAACTCAACTGATGCAGAAGAAGATGGCTGATATGCTTACTGAAATATCAATTGGCCTTACCACTTGTTTACATCTTGGTCGTCTGAAAGATAAAGGAATGTATGTAGTAAAGTAAATGGTGGTAAAGCGAATCTGCACTTTCCCAGACAAGTAGATTGCAAACTATTGTGTTACAGGTTGTGTCCTGAAATGGTTTCAATCGTGAAGCGTAATTCTTGTGGAAAAGCTTTAGACATAGCTCGCACAGCTCGTGACATGCTTGGAGGAAATGGTATTTCCGATGAATATCACATCATTCGTCATTGCATGAACTTGGAGGCAGTCAACACTTATGAAGGTAAATATTGTCAGTATTATTTGCCGAGTTGGTTGGTAAGAAAGGTGAACTGATGGTATTTGTTTTTTATCTGTCTGTTCAGGAACTCATGATGTTCATGCTCTTGTGTTGGGCCGTGCTATAACAGGACTTCAAGCTTTTTGATTGTGGTTATATTTTATGCAATAGATAATATAATAAATCATTCCTTCATGTACTCTGAAATGTGATATTTATGTTATCAGTGTAATTGTTTTACCAAAGGAGTATTTTAATTACTGTGCATTAAATTTTAATTTCATTTTTTAAAACAGAAATACATCTGATTAGATAAAATGTAAGAAAGTTGCTTCTCCATTTTTTAAACGGACCCGTTTCTGCCAGACAGTTGGGGCGCGCGGGGGGGAGGGCGTCATGGTTCAACACCACCTGTTGAGCAGCTCCACACCCACGCCCGGGTACCAGAGCAACAATGGACACCTTGCTCTCTGAGTAGTCAGCCCCCCGCGCGCGCTGCCCAGCGCTCATGCCAAAAATTGTGTTCAATTATAAAAGTAATGATTAATATGCTAATTCAAAAAAAATATCACGCAAAAAGACACATCAAGAACAATAACAATGCAGCGAGCAGGCATGAAATGCCTACATGGCGTCCAAAAGCAGATTGTACAAGTGAGAGGGCGCTATGACGCGGCGCAAACTTCTGTATTCAAAAAATATTGCTCGAAACTATAAAATAGAAAAAATTCTTAACTAAGGGTCCGTTTATGGTTAACAAGAATTGTTAACGTTTTTTTCTCCTCATTAAAAATTTAATCTAACTTCAATCCTTGCTTTTCTTTTGCCTAAATGAGATCTCATGTACCAATCTTCTAAAAATTTCCCCATCCTTCAAAAAGCAAAACAAAAAACATGTCTTCCTTTTTTATTGGAGGGAAGATTTAAGTGTTTCAGAATCTACTTTCTAGGTGTTCATAAATGAAAGCGTTATCAACGTAGGACATCAGGTAAGCGAAAAAAATTGCTCTGTTAATTAACGGAGATGCTTTTATGAAGCATGAGATTCTGTTAAGATCTTGGAGGTTACATAAAATTTTAAGTTGAAATAGTCACATTTATGTAATGAAAACACTGCATGCACTAATCTCAACAAAAAATTATGTTCAAGGAACGTTTCTACACACTCAAACACAAATCACTATATAGCATACCTGAATGCAAGAACCACGTAACAATTAACTTCATACAGACAACAAACAAAATTCACAAACACAAAGACAGTGATTACTGTATGTTCTTTTTCCAATCAAAACCTAGAGCCAAAATAGTCAGAATTGAAACAAAGCAATATGAGTATAGCCTATGTCCATCATAAAAGGTGCCACATTTGTGGAAAATCAGATGGTTTCTAACAGAATTTTGAGATGGACCTTACTTTTAAGAAAACTACAGCCTAAATCATTGGTAGAACATCACATGTTTTTTCTACAGTTAGTTAAAGCTCAACCCATAACAAATTTTACAACAGGAACATCACAATGATCTCTTGTCTTGAAATCTTTTCACTTACAAACAAAAATATAGCTACCAGTCAAAACTTTGACTATCTGAATAAAACTCTTTTTACAGAAATAATACAAGTAAGAATGTATGTACACAAAATCAGACTACAAATAAAGTATTTATACAAACTTCACACATCAAAATCACAGAAGCTATTTTTTAAATAACAGACTTTTTACACTATCACATGCAAAAAGATAATGATTTTTGTTTCTGTATGTTAAGTTGGGTGAAAGAACTACACGGGAGGGGAGAGGAAGGCGTCTACAACAGCTATGGAAAATATTTACATTAACAAAGGTAGGTAAGTCTACCTTCAATGAACTAAGTCCTGTACACCTATAACAAGCACACACATTAACAAAATAAAATTTCCACTTTTAGGGGAGAATTTTTATAATTTCTGAATTTTTGCGTCAGTTCAACACAAGCAAGTACCATACATTGTACAGTAACATAGGCCAAAGCCTTAAAGTCAGGCTTACCTTTCTTTTTCTTCTCATGTTGTTACCTTAATATAAGGATGATATAGGATGGATGGCATGACTGTACCAGTAGATGTACCGACATGTTAATATCGTTGTTTTCATGGAGCATTTGAGAGCATATGGCTTTGAGAGCACACTTTTAAGAGAAATCTTAGATAAAGGAACTTCATTAACATAAACATTAACAGTTTAGGAAATGTATGTGCATGATAAAAATATTAAGAAATATTGCACAACCACAAATAAGTTAGGATACACCAAAAAGTACTATGTAGTTTTTAAAATTACAAGGTTACAGTGTCCTCAAATTAGTACGTTTCTAAAATCTCAAGGCACATCTTCCAATTCCTTAAAGATAAATATACACAATTGGTGAAACATCATACAGTAATTTAAGTGATTAGTACTTAGCTATAAAACCCTGGTATTTCCTCAACTGATGAACAAGGGAAACATATCTGAGATCAATTAGGTAAGGTATTTGTACCTTTTAAATAAGAAAGCAAAATCTGCTGACAGCAGACTGCATTATTTGGGCTGCAAGCTAGAACTGAACACAGCATGAAGTGTGCAAAATTTTTAATTTCTTTGATTGAAACATATGCAATGAAAAATAAAATCTAACCATAAGTTGTTTTACTGATCCCACCATCAACAAAAACTTATGTGGGTATTCATTCCTGAACATTTTCTGTTCAGGGAATTATCACTTAAACCCTGAAAATAGAGATGAATTCAAACACTTAACTTGCTTTAACAGTCTTAGAATTCCTCAGCTGAGGATTTATTTAATTTCAAAATAAATTTCTAGGTAAGTTTTTTTTAAGATAAAAATACAGAACCTGTGTTATTCTTTCTCAAAATTTCTAATTTTGCAAAAGGGAACTGGTCTTACATCCTGCTACTTACAACTCTGAAATAATGTGGGACTTGGGTATTTAGTCTTAGTTCCCTTACTCTGGACAAAAGGACTGTCAAGAACTATTTGATATAAAAATGCTTCCTAATACACTTCTTTGCCCACACCAAGAAAAAGTATTAAAGGGGTTATGGTTGTACTGTATAGCCATCATAAGATTTCAAACTCTTCACACTCCATATAATTATCACTGTCAAACCCAATAGCATTGTCATCCTCAGGGATGCTTAATCGAGGTAGGCTTACTGCATCTCGGCTGCGACCATCACAAAACACAAACATTGGGTACTCTGACTTCTGATTTGGCGGTACAAGACACTGTATGAAAAAACAATTTGAGTGAGAGCAAATAAAAAAACTGCAGAAACAAAGAGTAAACTTAGGAAAACAAAACTTCACAAACCTTTTTTACATCTTGAACAAAGGCATCTAAATCATCTCTTGTTTTGCAGTAGAAGCCAATAGAACAAGAGGGATCCATCTTAGACAAATGCATTTTTCTCGGTGATCGGCAATGGAAAGAAGATAGAGGAAAGTTTGGTTGCCACACATCCACACGCTCTTGACAGTAATGTGGATCTAAATGTATAAGTTTATCATCTGCAAAATTCAAAATCAAATATATTTGTTTATGACTTGAAATACACACCACAGCCAGAAAAACAAGAACTTTCTATGGAATATTTGTCAATTTCATTCACCTTGGTAGCCAACAAAATAAAGTGAATGTCTTGGTCTTCCACCAATTATGCCAATGCAATGTTTCAGGGTCAACAATGAAGTAAGACAAGGAGCATATATGGAGTTCATTTTTTCTCCTCCCAATCTCACAGGGACCAAAATTATAACAGATTTCCAATACTTCCTGCTCCCTCCATTTTCATGTTTTTCACATAAATCAATTATATCCTGCACATATACTGCAAAAATAATTAACATGTAAGTAATATCCAACAAGCGCTAACATATCTGTTTCCTGACTAGAATGAAAAGAACTGACCTGCACAATCTTGAGCAACGTATACACACAATTTTTCAAATTCATCATATTCCTCTGCTGCTGCTTTAACTGCCATCCTAATTTTTAATTGAAGGTAAGCAAATTTTTTATATTTAGTACACATATTTTTTTATATTTAAATTTGTTGTTTGATTTGTGAAACACACTTAAAGATCAACAAAATGTACCTTAGTAAATGAGCCACAGACCCAGGTCCATACCAGTCTCCAGCTTTCTTGCCAGACTCTTCTCCAAGACGAACAAGAGTATGAATGGAAAATGGACTAACTGGTGAAGGAATGTCAGCAAACCATTTGATAATGGCACGATGCATTTTGTCATTGCGATTCATGAGCCCAGTTGTTAAGGGTTCTTCTGGCCGCCATCTCCAGTCTAGAAAAAACATATTCCAAAAGAAATTTATTAAATCTTGAAAACAAAAACTTAACTATTTCCATATAAAATTATTGTATCAATGAAAATCATACCTCTATTAATAAAGTGACAGACTAGTGCCTGTGCCAGAAGCATTTGTCCACTACGAAGCATACATCCCCATCCACAGTCAGTTGTAAAATTTGAACCATTCAATATGGGAAATTCGCGGCGATAAGTAAGCCATAGTCGGCTTTGAAAGTCACTGCGGAAAGCTTCTATGCCTTCCTCCTCCACAAACACCCCTAACATATCTTCACTGCAGGCAATAGCTTGTGTGTCATCCAAGGGATGATGATCCACAGGATGATAACAACGACCCAATAACCAAACTGGGGAATCTTTCGAAAAGTTAGTTTTCACTTTAACTGTCCACCCTAAAGCACAGAAAAAAACAAAATCATGTATTTGTTTGTTGTTGGCGGAAGTTTGAAATTGCTCCATTAAAGGCAAGAATTAGGACTTACCATACTTCATGTTATTCCACATTGACATAAGTTTGGTTTTAACTTTCCCATCGGTCTCAGGCTCCTCAGCACTTGATGTAGGACTACGACCATTCTGGTGATGAGGCTGACTTTGGCTTTGACCAAGGTTGTTTGCTAATTTTCTTACGCCAGAGAGGAGCCCTGGTTTAAAACTTGCAATAGCTTCAGCGTTCATTCTCTTTCAATGTGAGACAGCAATAGATACATCCTCAGTAGGGGGACTGCAAGACACTGACTCATACAGGAAACCTTCCTTTTATTTCTGCCAGTGCCTCAGATGAAAAGGCCTAGACCTAGTTTCATTGCAGATCTAATATCAAGTCACAGTATTAAAAGGTGGTGACAAATATTAGCAATGGCAATCATAGAACATGTTGCAAAGTCTAATTGATCTGCTTACTGAAACCCTAGTGATTCTTGTCCAAGTTCTTTAAGGGGAAACGCTGCTAAAATTAAAACATTCCAATGTTTGTGGTTAGCTATGTTGACATCAACTGAACATCATATCACAGCTGTTTTCTTCCTTCTTCCTCCTTTTTTTTCTTGTTGTGGCGTCTGCGGCAAACGTCAAGTGGGTCAGTTTCGCTCTCAATGACCTTTCGACGACATTTCCAAGGCCACAATTGATGCGCTACAGACAGCCTGTTTATTGAGCTTTCTTGCAGATTACGTTTTGACAAAGTCACAGATTACTATGAACTTTAAAAATCATTCAAGTTTTCCGATGAGATGAATGGAAAGAAAACACAAGGAAGTCAAGTCATTAGGAGCTGAGTGCCGGGTCTGTTCTTCGTTGTAGCAGGCTGTGGAGCAAAGTGACTAGACAGTCAGTGAGCGTTGTCGTTTCGCCTGGAGTTGTCAGGAAAATATTAGTGAAGAGTGATATTGTAACTGACAGTATAGCCTAGTTTTTAAAAGAAGTCGTTCTACTGCATCGAAAATGCCTTTGGAAAATTTGGAAGAGCAGGGGCTCGAAAAGAACCCCAACCTGGAACTTGCCCAGTGGAAGTTTCTGCTTAGCCTCAGCGAACACAAAGATGACAAAACTTTGCAAACCCGCTTAATGGATGCCATCAAGCAGGATAGTAAGTTGTTTCTTTTTCTATTGTTCGCCAAGTTTTACTCATTTTATCTTTACGATTTGATCTTTTTCATAGTCAAATATGTCTTTGTTGACGTCTCCTCTGGGCTTAGCAGCGGGTCCCATATCTTGTCAATACCGGTCTTAAATCTTGCCTTAGTTCTCACATCGCCGTTTTTCTTCTTTTAAACCATAGTTAATTGATGGATCTTTAATTTTTCAAATGTTATTGTTTCTCATGTCACTTTTCACATGTAAAAATATCCATTGTCATCCGTATCCCATAACCTAACTTTTTGACACAGTCTTTTGAAACATTTTGTTTCTTTCTCAGATATGGCACCATTTTATGAAGAAGTTTGCCGGGACTTAAATTGGCCTGTAGATCAGAAACTTCTCACCGACATGAAGGCTGCAAACGAAGAAAAGTTGAAGCTCCTGGAGGAAACCATTGAAGATGCAGAGAAAAATCTTGGAGAAATGGAAGTACGGGAAGCGAATCTAAAGAAGTCTGAATATCTCTGTAGGATCGGTGAAAAGGTTTGTAAATATTTTTGATGTATATGTAAAATTTAAAAGCCATTGTGATAATTTATCCTTATTCTGTGTTTAAGGAAGGAGCTATCTCAGCATTCAGAAAAACCTATGAAAAGACTGTATCTCTTGGTCATCGACTTGACATTGTTTTCCACAATCTGCGCATTGGTCTGTTCTATCTGGATCATGACTTAATCACTAGGAACATTGAGAAAGCTAAGAGGTATATTTTGTAATTCTCTTTACTTCATTCAAAGTTTTGACACTGGGTAATTTTTTAATTTTATTTTTTAGCTTAATTGAAGAGGGTGGTGACTGGGATCGTCGCAACAGATTGAAAGTGTATCAGGGGCTTTACTGTGTGTCCATTCGTGACTTCAAAGGAGCTGCCAATTTCTTCTTGGATACCGTGTCAACTTTTACCTCTTATGAGCTTATGGATTACAACACATTTGTTCGTTATACCGTGTATGTCAGCATGATAGCTCTACCACGGAATGAACTAAGAGACAAGGTAGTTAGTTGTACCGTATAATAATAATTCTATTTCTTTTTGAATAGTGGTACTATATTGTTTCCATATTCCCGTAGATCATCAAAGGGTCTGAAATTTTGGAAGTTCTTCATACCAATGCTGATCTTAAAAACTACTTATTCTCCTTATATGATTGCCATTACAGTGATTTCTTCAAAAATCTTGGTAAGAGATTGGTGCAAATTTCTTGTTGTATATTTTGAACTCTGGAAATAAGTTATGTTTGCTTATTGTGTCCTCTCTTTTGTTTCCAGCTGTGGTTGAGGGCTTGTTACGAAGAGACTATTTAGTAGCCCCTCACTTCAGGTATTATGTGCGAGAAATGAGAATTTTGGCCTACACACAGCTGTTGGAATCATACCGCAGTCTTACTCTGCAGTATATGGCTGAGGCTTTTGGTGTTACTGTTGACTTTATTGACCAGTAAGTTATTGTAGTCATCAGAGTAGTTCATGTATTTAAATGCCCTAATTATCTTATGCACATTTATGTTTCTTTATTTTTGTAGGGAATTGTCAAGATTTATTGCAGCCGGCCGCCTTCACTGCAAAGTGGATAAGGTTGGTGGTATTGTTGAAACAAATCGGTCCAGAAGAACAGACTCCAAGCATTGGCAGTATCAAGCCACAGTAAAGCAAGGAGATTTGCTTATCAATAGGGTGCAAAAACTTTCAAGAGTCATCAATATTTAATTAAATTTCTATATAAGAGCAACCATTTTCCCTACAGCATTGCAGCCTGTATTTATATACTAACAGATAATCATTTTTGAATAAAAACATCAAACATGGAAGACTGATAGCAACTTTTTTAATCCTAATTCTTGAGAATGTTGTATTGTTCTCAATCTCAACAGCACTTGTCAACCCTATGTGCCATTTTTAATTTCTCCTGAAACAATCTCGAAAGAAACAGTACAAGCAACAATTAAGATGTTGGCCTTCATACTAAAACTTCTTTAACATTAGGTGCCGACAAGCACAGTGCGCTTCAACCTGTGGCCCCAGAGGCCCTATGCTGGTGCTGGTTGGTGAGCATGATGAATAATCCATGCATCTAAGCTGGTTTGACCACACAACCGTAAATGTAGCTGCAGACACGTGAATTCAGACTGGGCCAGCTCAAAATCCAGGCTCAAAAGTTACGTTTATAAGTTAGTAGCCCGAACTATGGTGGCCATTAACTTAACTTAGTAACATAGGCTCCGTCCGAATTCTCATCCAGTCCGTTCCATTCAATTTCCTTTCGTGTCTTTTCTGGATGAGGGCAGGAGACATAGGGGCCCAGGGGGG